AAAAAAAAAAAACACACACACGGTACCCGCAAATCCCCCTCATGGATCATGGAGAAAAAAGGCCAGGCGCGAAGATGGTTGCCCGTTTGTTCCGTGCCGGTCGGTGGTGTGTGGAGAGACTGTCTTTTTTCTTTTTTCTTTATTTTCTTTTTTTTTTTCTTCCATACCTACCCCCACCCCCATCCATCCATCGATCCATACATACCGATTTTCCCCCCCAAAAAAAACCCCTGCTCACCGAACTTTCGCTCGCTTCCGCGGACCCCGCGCGCGCGCATCCCGCTCGCAATGATTGGCACGGCGCAGGGCTGGCTGGGCTGGGCTGAGCAGGGCAGGACAGGGCAGGGCAGGGCAGTGGGCGGCGGCGGGGGGGTCGGGCAAGCACGACGACGACGACGACACCTGACGACTGCCGACGCCGAAGCCGCCGACGGCGTCCCACACGCAGCAGCAGGCACGAGCACGCACACGCACACGCACACAAGCCCACGCGAAGCAGGCGCGCGCATTCGCAGCGAAACCGAGGGCGTGGGCGTGGGCGGCGGCGGCGGCGGCGGCGGCGGCGGTTGTTGCGAGCGAGCGAGCGCGCGCGCACACACAGTAGGTACCCACTCATCCAGCACATCGCATCGCCGACGCCAGCGGATGAGCGGGCGGGCGGGCGCTCGCGTGTCGTTTAGGGCAGGGGGGGCGGGGGGTCGGCGTCGCGGGCACAGGCTCACGAGCTCCCAGACTCGCAGGCTTCCAGGCTCTCAGGCACCCAGACTCGGAGGCTTCTAAGCTCGCGGGCTCACAGGCTCATAGGCTCTCCATAGGCTCTCAGGTTCGCAAGCTCGCAAGCTCGCACCGTGGCGCCCCCCCCCCCAATGGGGCAAGGCCGTGAGCGGGGGTCCTGACAGGGCTAACGAGATCAGCAGCGAACCCACAAAAGCGCCGTCAATCTTTCGATGGATCCGGTCGGTACGTACTGTAGCGTAGCGTGTAGGTAGCTACTAGGTAGCTTGCTTGGTAGGGCCTGACACTGGACACGCCATTTTGGATGGGTGGGCTGGCTGGACCCTGATGGCTGGATGGTCTTGGGGCTGCAGGTCGTAAGCGCGGATGGGTTGGGTTTTGGGAGCGGGCGTGGTGGGGGGTTTCGCTTGCTGTGTGTCTGTGTGTGTGTGTGCGTGTGCGCTATGCGTGATGATGATGATGTTGCTGTTGCTGCTGCCGCCGTTGTCCCGTGTTGTTTTCGTGGCTGGTGAGTGTGGTGGTCGAGCCGACCCGAGCTCGAGCTCGCCCGCCATCGTACTTCTCCGTGGGATGTTCGTTCACGAGAGGAAGGATGAGTGTCGGGTTTGAGAGAGCGGCTGTCTGCCTACCTACCCAGCCGCTCAGCAGCCTGCCCTCTCCCGCAGTCACCTCTCTCTCTCTCTTGCCAGATTTCTCTTTTCTCTCGTTTTCTTTTCTATCTCGCCCTCCCCGCACACCCTTCTATACGTCCACACCCACACACATGCCCAACCGGGCATCAACGCGCCTCCGTTTAAGAGAGCCAGCCATGCCATGCCACGCTATACAATACGGACGCTCCCGCAGCAGGGCCACAGTGTAGTGTACAATAGTGCAGTGTAGTAGTTAGTCGAACGCGTCGGGAGCTAGTATGGCAGTCAATGGCACAATAGCAGTATTGCATGTTCCAAGTGTACGCAAGCTCCTGTTCCTGTCCCTGTTCAAGGTCCTGTTCCAGATAAGACCGGCCTGCTGCCTGCCGCTCTTGGCCCGTTTGGGTGCAGGCCAGCTAGCCGTACATTGCCATGCCTGCTAGGAGTAGCTAGCTAGAGCGGCCTAGCTAGCTAGTTCCTACAACCTACAGCCTACAGCGGCATTGATTGTTGATGCTTGTGCTCGGTTGTTTGTGTTGTGTTGTAGCTCTGTTATGGATTGATTCCATGTAGCACAACCTTACGCGGCATTGGGAAGGACTGAGTGGCAGCCAGCCAGCCTCTTTGGGCAACCAAAGAGAAAAAAAA